ATCATTTGTTGGCCTTTATACATTCAAATTCTGTTTAGCTCCAGCTTGCTGAGCTTGTTTTCTATTTTGGAAAAAAAAAAAGAGAGAGAGAGAGAGAATACAACGCCCACCTGATACAGCTTATTATATGCTACTGTCTTTTTTTTTTCTTGGTACTAGGGATTGAACCCAGGGGTACTTTACCACGGAACTTCATTCCCAGTCCTTTTAATTTTATATTTAGACAAGAACTCATTAAGTTGCTGAGGGTCTTGCTAAATTGCTGAGGCTGGCCTTGACCTTGGGATCTATCTGCCTCAACTTCCCATTACAGGTATGTGCCACTGTACCTGGCTGCTACTGTGTCTCATGGCCTTTGTATTTTTAAAAATTATGACTATATGTTCAATAAATATCTGAATTTATCATAATCATGTGTCAGAGGTCTCAACAACTGTCCTCCTCCATTATAAATATATACAGCCATGCTGACCCTTTTATTTCCTAGAATACACCTAACTCTTCTGATGGCTTTTGTGCTTATTGTTAGGTGTCACCTCCTATCTCAAATATGTGACATTTTAACAACACCCCTTATTCTCTGTCATAGCACTCTCTTGATCTCCTTCTTGCCTCTTAGAGAATTTGTAATCAAACACTTCAGTTGTATGATATCAGGATTTCTTGTCTATTGGTTCATCATTGAATTCCTAGTTCTTAGGAGAATGTCTGACACATAATATATGCTTTCTAAATATGGATGAACAAAGAAATACAAGTTGTGGGGCTGGGTTGTGGCTCAGTGGCAGAGTGCTTGCCTTGCATGTGCGAGGCCCTGAGTTTGATCTTCAGCACCACATTAGAAAAATAAAGGTATTGTGTCCAACTACAACTAAAAAATATATATATTAAAAAAAATAGAAATACAAGTTGTAAGTAGTCATAGCTTGTTATAGCCTAAGGCAAGATTAAAGATTAGATCTTTATTCCTTTTCTTTCACTGTCTCACTTTGTATGATATGCTGCTGTGTGTATGTATTGTTTATAAAGTACCATGAATTTAAATGATTCCAATTTCTTATGATCATTATACCCATACTATATAATGAATTTCTGTATTTTCAAAACTGAGTCTATAGAGCCAAATGCATTTATTATTTTTTTAAAAGAGAATTTTTAATATTTATTTTTTAGTTTTCGGTGGACATAACATCTTTATTTTATTTTTATGTGGTGCTGAGGATCGAACCCAGCACCCCGCGCATGCCAGGCGAGCGTGCTATCGCTTGAGCCACATCCCCAGCCCAAATGCATTTATTATTAAAGACGTATATGTGGCTCAGCGGTAGAGCGCTTGCCTAGTACAGGCGGGACCCGGGTTTGATCCTCAGCACCACATAAAAATAAAGGCACTATTTTGTGTCCATCTACACCTAAAAAATAAATAAATATTTAAAAAAAAGATGTATATAAATAACGCTATGTATGTTATGTCATTTTATGTACAGATTTCAAAATACTATTATCATTCTTGGGTCAACAGATATATTTTAGAAGTTAAAGAGGAGGGCATTTGGTAGCTTATTAAAGTCTTATAGGTTATTGAGAATTTCAGTTGAGAGAATGGGCTTCTGAGCCAGTCACGGGATCATGTCTCAGCTTACAGTGGACAAATAATTCTAAAGTTTAGCTGGTTCACCTGCAAAGTAGTAACTGTATCAACAGTAGTAGGTTTGTAGTGAGGATTATAAGTTTATGTACACATATAAAACACTTAATCACATAATTCAGTGCCTAGCCAGTGAAGTGGTATACATAAGTGGAAATGGAATATTAAGTCCAAGAAATATAGACAGGAAGGATATATCTGTGTCTACATTTTAATGAATATATATTTCCACAGGGTAGAGTTGTCACTGCAGTTTTAAAATAAGATTAGTTTTATGAGAAAGTGTGAAGAAAGGTATTCACTGTTTTCAAAAAAAATTTTTTTCTAGTCAGGAGTGGTGGCAGTGATCCTGTAATCCCAGCAATTTGGGAGGCTGAGGCAGGAGGATCACAAATTCAAGGCTAGCCTGGGCAATTAAGTAAGACTCTGTCTCAAAATAAAACAAAAAGTGCAAAATAAAATAAAAAGTGCTAGGGATGTAGCTCAGTAGTAGAGTGGGTAAATCACCAATATGGAGGTGGGGAATCATTATGTCCTGAAATAAAGCCAGGAGCAAAAAGATTCAGAACTGGGTAAAACTTCAGATTTAACCACTACCCCCTACCAAAACTCTAAAACACTATATAAAACCTCAAAGCTAAGTAATGAAATCAGGACTGATACAGTTCTTCTCAAATGATCATTATATATATATATATATGTGTGTGTGTGTGTATACACACACACACACACACCATTATGTATATACACACACACATCTATCTATCTATCTCTATACACACACACACACACACACACTGTAAACAATGAATAACAGCTAAAATAATAAATTACTTTTTTCCACTCCAGCCAGGTCATCTTTCTATGAAGAATACAATGAATCTTTAAGCAATATCCCAATGCTTAGCAAAAGGTTTAGGTTACTCTGTAAATCATGTATCTGATAAGGAATTTCTATTTAGAGTACACAAAGAACTTTACAACTCAATAATGAAAAGAAGCTGGGCACGGTGGTGGACACCAGTAATACCAGTCAGTGACTTAGGAGACCGAAGTAGGAGGATGGCAATTTCAAAACCAGCTTCAGCAATTTAGCAAGGCCACAAAAACTTGGTGAGACCCTCTCTGAAAATAAAAAATAAAAAGGACTGTGAACGTGGCTTTGTGATTAAGTGCCTCCCAAATAAAAAATGAAAAGGACTGTGAATGTGGTACAAAAAAAATTTTTTTTTAATAAATAAAGAGACCAAAAAAAAAAAAAAAACTTTTAAATGGGGGAAAGGATCCAAGTAGATTTCTTCAAAGACATACAACTGGCCAATAAGAGACATGGAAAAAATGCTCAATATCATTAGCATTCAGAGAAATGCAAATCAAACCCACAATATGTGCCACTTCATATCTACCAGGATGGGTATAATAACAAGTAGTGGCAAGGATGTAGAGAAGTTGGGACCCTTATACCTCGCTGGTAAAAATCTAAATGGTACAGCCACTGTGGAAAACAGTTTGACAGTTCCGTAAAAGGTTGAACATAGAGTTATCATATGAGACAACTTATAGTACATGTACCCAAGAGAAATAAACACCTATCTTCAAACGCAGTGTAGTGGTATGGTTGTAATCCCAGCTACTCAGATGGATAAGGGAGAGGGATCACAAGTTTGAGGCCAGCCTGGACAACTTAGTGAGGCCCTTCTCAAAAATTTTTTAAAAAGACTACAGATGTATTTTGGTGGTCAAGTACCTACCTGCCTAGAACACATAAGACCCTGGTTTGGATTCCCAGCACTGCAAAACAATAACACTCCCCACCTGAACCCCATGTCCACAGAAAAATCTGCACCCAAATGTTCACAGAAGCATTATCCATAATAGCCAAAAAATGGAAACAACCCAAATATCCATCAACAGATGAGTGAATAAAATTGACTGTGTCCATTTGGCAATAAAAAAAGAAATAAAGTACTAATACACGTTATAACGTTCTGGCAAATACTATGCTAAGCCAGTCACAAAAATCATCCTCTATGATTGCATTTACATGAAATGACCAGAATAGGCATAATCTGGGGTGATGAGAGGAAGTGGGGAATCACAGTTTCTTTTTGGAGTGATGAACATGTTTAAAAAGTTGTGGTGATACATAAATGGGATTGATATTTTAAATAAAAGAAGTGTATAAATTGAATATAATAAAACTCAGCTAATTATACACTTTAAATTGTGGAAGGTAAGGCATGTGCATCGTATCAATAGTTTTTTTTTTTAATGGGGGGAGGTGTCATTTTTAGACAACCAATTTAGTATAAACAGTATAGTCAAAATATGCCAGGATAAAACTATTTATGCATCTTACTGGCATTTGGGGGTGTTTCGTCAAATTTCTTAAACAATAAACTATGTACTTAGTTTTTTTTTAAAAAAATAGTATTACACTGATTTCACGTCATTTTCTGGCAAAATTAAGGACAAAAACGACCACAATCTTAAAATCTACAATTTTTCATTACATCCCCACTTAACTATGCAGCTAATTTATACTCTTCCATAGCAAAGGCAGAAACTAACTTCAAACAATGTGCTGACAACGGTGCCCTTTTAAAAGCGTTATAATGTGGGGAAAATTTTTTAAAAATCAAGAGAGGAGGGAACAAAAATGAACTCAAAACAATAAAATATTACAAGGTGTTATAATGATTTGTTCACTCTTTAGTCAAAACCGGGGAAAGAGAGAATGATAAGTTACAAATTTCTAAAACTTGGTGTTAGGATTCATAAATCCTTTAAAAAAATTAATAATAAAGCAAAAGGAAAACAAGAAATCTCTCCGCGATCCGAGTGGGAGGAAATTCTGGATGCTATCCGCAAGCAGGGTCCCGAGCGGGCCCACGGCCAGCCGGGCCGCAGGCGCCCCTGCTGGGCCCTCGTGTGAACCGTGGACCCGTAGCAGCCGGAGGAGATTCGCCCCGGCGCGCCTGGGGACTCTGCGCCGAGGTCAGGCCGAGAAACGCCGCCAGGTTCCCGAGGACTCCACCCTCTCCTCTCACTCTCCCTCCCCTCAGCGGTCCCCTGAGGGGAACAGGCGGGGCGCGGCACGCTGGGACAAGGGGGGGTTGCGTTCTCAGCTAGAAAAGCTCCGCCGCCCAGAGTGGCGGCCGCGGGTTATTAATAAACTCCGCTTCTGCCCAGGCGCAGCTACCGAGGCGGCCGTAGGATCAACAAGGCCTGCGGCCGAGGTTGAGCAGTGGGAGCCGGAGCCCGGGCCCAAGCGGGCCCGCGCCGCCGCGCTGAGGGCGGCGGCCGGGCGGAGAATAATGCACACTGGGTAAAAACACATTTATATACGAACCTCCGAGAAAATTTTCCAACAATTCCTTCGTCCGACCACCATGCACCAGGACAGGAAACAGCCGCCCGGCCCCCAAGCCCCGCAACCCGCATAGCGTGTCTGAGGCCCGCCCCCAGCCTCCATTGGGCAGGCATTACGTCACTCACTGGGCATTCCCTGCTTTTAATTGGACCAAATTTAACCTACCAGAAGGGAATCGCCCCCTTAGGCACGCCCCAACTTGGGACGTCACCAAGGTTGGTCTTCCAGCCAGCGCCTGAGTGGCTCGCGCAAAGTGCGGAATCAAAGTTTCTGTGTCTTACTGGTTGGCAGAACCGCTCATCCCAGACCAACACCACTTCACTGACAAGTTAATTATGCGGATTCCGGGGCTCCAGCGGGAGACGCCATTTTGTAGCAAGGGAGGGAGGTTGGTCCTTGTGATTACCTGGGAGGGAGAAAGGGTGACGGGCGCCATTTTCCCCACAGGGGCGAAGAGGCGGATTGGGATTTCCCTGTGGGCTTGTTGGAATGAATTCTGGAGACCAGATGAGCTTTGCCTAGCCCTTGCCGAATGCTGTACCATTGGGAGGGAAGAGGAGGGGAAGCATAGGACAGGATGGGAGACCTGCCCGCTCCCCGGGGGCTCTCAATGCTGATTGAGGCCCTTGGTCTTGGGCAAAGGCCGTTTACCCGAGACCTGATGTGTGCCGGTGACTGGCTTCCAGGCCTGCCTGCGCTTCTCCAGTCGCCGGGGGCATCACCGTGCGGTGGGAGGATGAGCCTTCTGCCCCCGGAAACTCCCGCGGAGTTTGGCACCAGAGTGGTGGTAGTCTAAGATTCCTCCGGGAGACTGGAAGCATTTATTCATTTTTGTACTTTTGGCTCAAAGTTTTAAGTCAACTGAATTGGTGTCGCTACGTTCTTTTGAATCTTATTTCCCTTTTGTGTGTTGATAACTGAAAAAGTCAAAGGGGTGCGGGAAAGTATTCAATCGGGTCCCCTAAACCTGTTAATGGATACAGATAAGTCGTTTCATGTGTGGTAGCTCTCATCCATTCCTTTTCTAAGTCATTGAAAATACTAGTAATTTCAGGAGGTATTGAGTAAATATTATTTGCTTGGGAAACCATGCCGAGTAAAAATGAAATAAAGTGTGTTAAATGAGGCAAGCCAGGTGTAGAATCGATTATGAGGACGTCGGCTTGCTTGAACAGATTTGGGTACTTAAACGGAGAGAGTAGGATAATGTTTAGTTTCTTGCATTTCAGATGATTATGGAATAGACGGAGGATAAGTCAAAAATGTTAAAATATAGCCAGCCCTCAAGACAGTGCTTTGGTGCATATCTGTACTCTGGGGTTGCAGCATTCCCCTTTTCCTGCTTAGGTGTACCTTAACCAAGGCAAACATGCATAATTTGTACCCAAACGCTCTTAGAAGGAAAACAGGATTTTATTTAAGCTTTAACACATTCTTTAGTAATTTAAAATATTTCTGATTACTTTTTAGGTTCTTGTATGAAAGCCACTGGGGAGGCTGAGACAGGAGAATCGCCAATTCAAAGCCATTCTCGTCAAAAGTGAAGCAACTCAGTGAGACCCTGTCTCTAAAATAAAATACAAAATAGGGCTTGGGATGTGGCTCAGTGGTGGAGTACCCCTGAATTCAGTCCCCAGCACCAAAAAAAAAAAAAAAAAAAAGTTTTTTGATGCTAGAGGATTTTGCTCATTTACAAGTTAATGGAACCGGTGGCTCACACCTGTAATCCTAGTGACTGGAGAGGCTGGGGCAGGATGGTTGCAAATTTGAGGCCAGCCCAAGCAACTTCATGAGGTCCTAAGCAAAAATAAGGGCTGGGTTGTAGCTCAGTGGTAGAACACTTGCCCAGTGGTGAGACACTGAATTCTATCCTCAGCACCACATAAAAATAAATATTGTGTCCATGTACATCTAAAATAAAAAGAGCTGGGATATGACTCAGTGGTAAAGCACTCCTGGGTTCAGTTCCCAATACCAAAAAAATAAATGGATAGATTGATTCCCTTTTAACCAAAGCTCAGCTGAAGGATAAGAGGTTCTGGGGGTAGTGGTGCACACCTGTAATCTCAGCTATACCAGAGGCTGAAGCAGCAGGATTTCAAGACCAGATAGCAATTTTTTGAGACCCCCAGCAATTTAGGGCAACCTATCTCAAAACCAAAAGGGCTGAGAATGTAGCTCAGTGGTGAAGTTAATGGGTACAAATAAGTCGTTTCATGTGTGGTAGCTGTATTCAGTTCCCAGTACCGAAAAATAAAGCACTGGGGACATAGCTCATTATGTCCTGATAATGAGTTCTATCCCCAGAATTCATTTCAAAACAACAGTCTCAATAAATTGCTGAGGCTAGCCTCAAACTTGCAATCCTTCTTCCTAAGCCTCCCAGAACTCGGATTATAGGAGAGTACCACCTCACCCCAAACCAGTGTTTTGTCTGTCTCAATTAGGAACTGTAGCTACAGATGTGGCACTTGCCACCCATTTAACAATGTTGCTGGGAGGATTTATGGTAATGTAAATACTGTACATAGGAAGCACAGTGCCTCTCAGATGTTTTTTAGTACTCGATAAATGTCTTTTTCCACTTCATTGTTTACAGCAGTGGTTCTTTTAAAAAAAAATATTGGGGTTTTTTAGTTGTAGTTGGACACAATATCTTTATTTTAATTAATTATTTCTTTAATGTGGTGCTGAGGATCAAACCTAGAGCCTTCCATGTGCTAGGCGAGCGCTGTACCACTGAGCCACAATCCCAGCTCCTGTAGCAGTGGTTCTTAAGTACTTTGACAACTCCTTTGAGATTCTTATGAAACCTCTGAAAAAAATATACCGAACAACTGTACTTTTCATAGGGCTCATGGATACAGGGTTGAGTCTTTGGTTTGTGCCATGTTTGGTGGCATACACCTGTAATCTCAGTGAACTGGGAGGGTGAGATAGAAGAATCTTAAGTTTGACGCCAGCCTGGATAACACAGTGAGTGTGTGTCTCAAAAAAGAAGAGAAAATCCTGGGTTTGTAGACTGAGATAATTTTCTTAGCTTTCACACAGAAAGGAAAATTCGTATTTACATTCCATTTGTTAGGGTTTAATTATACTTTTAAGAAGCAGGGTCTCCCTAAGTTGCTAAAGCCAATCTCAAATTTGTGATGCTCTGCCATCTTCAGCCCTTTTTATTTTGAGACGGTCTTACTAGATTTCCAAGGCTGGACTCACACATGCAGTCTCCAATATCTGGGATAACAGGCATGTACCACCATACTCTCTGGAATAATATAATTTTATAACTTCTAAAACTTCAAACCCCCTGAAGATCCCAAAGGTATGCCTCTTAACAAACTAGGACCTGATATATGCTAGGCAAGTGCTCTGCCACTGATCTATAGTCCCACCCCATTATAGTTCTTTATTTTTGTGTTGGGGATTTAACCCATGGTGCTCTACCAGTGAACAGCATCCTCAATCCTTTTGAGACAAGGTCACTAAATTGCCCAGGCTGGCCTTAAATTTGGGATCCTCCTGCTTCCCCATTCCAGATTGCTGGGATTGCATGTGATTTGCTCTTCATTCCTTTTTGCTAACTATTTGTATGAATCTAATATTTATCAACTGATGGATATTTGAATTGTTCCTACCTTTTTTTTGTGTGTGTGGTGCTGGGAATTGAACCAAGGGCCTTCTGCATGTAAGATTTTTTTCTACCTTTTTGGCTCTTAGGAATACTATACTTTGGATAATACTGAAGCACATCTCTGCATACACCCCCCCCCCCCGTTCTATTTCAGAGAGACAATATCACACCCAGACTCTATGACATTTCTGTGCAAGTATTATGGATGTATTTTATTTCTCTTGGTATATTTACTTAGGAATACAATTGCAGAGTCATATGGTAAAACTGTTTACAACCTTTTGAGGAACTGCCAAACACAACAGATGAGCATTTTACATGTAAGGATTCTAATTTCTCCACATCCATCTTTATCCCCACCCCACACCACCACCCCCCCTTTTTTTTGTGCAGTGTTGGGGATTGAAATTAGGGCCCTCTGCAAAAGTTTTTACACATTGTGGCTGGGTGTGGTGGTTCATGCCTGTAACCCCAGTGGCTTGGGAGGCTAAAGCAGGAGTTCAAAGCCAGCCTCAGCAACAACAAAGCCCTAAGCAACTCAGTGAGACCCTAAATAAAATACAAAATACAGGCAGGGATGTTATTCAGTGGTTGAGTGCCCCTGAGTTCAATCCCTGGTACCAAAATAAATAAATAAATAGTCTTTTGGAGTGCTGGGGTTGTGGTCAGTGGTAGAGCCCTTGCCTAGTATGTGCAAGTCCCTCAGTTCTATTTTAAGTACCATGCAAAACAACAAAAAATACAACTTGAACCACAATATTGATGAAGCCCAATTATTTTTTTCCTTAAATATGTGCTTTGGATACAAGTTTAAGAAACCACTACCTAATAAAAAAATCATTAAGATTTATGTGTATGGTTTTCCCCAAGAATTTTATTATAGTTTGAAGCCTTCATTCAAATCTTTAATACATTAGCTAAGAGACCTGTTTCATGCTTTTGCATGGAGATAACGTATCTTAAAAAGATGACTATTTCCCACGTTGAACACTCTTGGCACCCTTACTGGAAATCAACTAACCATAAATGTAAGGGTTTAATTAGTGATTCAACTTTATTCTCTTGGACCATCCTTACACCAACAGAACACTATGTGATCACTAAATCTACTTTTTCCAATATTGTTTCATCTATTCTGGGTCCTTTATATTCCCATACACATTTCAGGATAAGCTAGTAAGTTGCTGGGCAGGGCGTAAAAAGATAGCTGAAATCTCATATGGATAAAACTGTATCTGTAGATCAATTTGTGCTATGTTGCAGCGTTCATGTTATCTTCCACTTATATAGTTATTTCAGTTTTACCCTGTTTTGTTGTATTTACTCGTAAGTACTTCTTCATTGCTACTGTAAGTGGAATTTTAGTATATTTTGTATATTATATAACCTTGTATCTTGCAATCTTAAAATCATTTTGTGCATGTTATTTCTTAGAATTTTCTATCATATCATCTTGTGA